ACAGAATTTTAAATTATGTAAATAGGAAATATGAGCAAGTCAGATTGAAGTAAACTACACTGTAAAGAAGGATAGTGCAAGGATATATTACGAAAAAATGGTATCAAATGTTATAAAGTGAAAAAAGTGCACCTCTTGAGCTTGAAGATGAACCGAGGAGATTAGGATTCTGTAGGTGGTGACAAGAAAGAAAGAGGGAAAATCCTTTTATATACAGAAGAATTCTCTGGTCAGATATGCCTATTTTTTGTAACAATGGATTTTTTTAATAGAAACATTTACTTCAAATGGACTAATGGTAATTTACATTGGCACGGAGAAAATGCATTTCAACAGAGGTTTTGGTTAGGGCTAGAATTCTTGATACCAAAATCCTGGGACCTTACTTCTATGTTCTATGATTGTAAACTGATGGGTGCCAGATATTGCAGATTCTTAGCTTCGAAAAAGTACATCATATTCATAAAAATTTTTGTAGTTGGCCTGTTTAAAACAATTTCTATACATTAATCTACATCTTTCATAGCAAAATTATAAAAATGTAATAGATATGAAAGATAAAGGCAACATGTAGTACATCGCATGATGACAATTTTTTTTTGTCCGCATAGAGGGCGCAGCAAATTACATCCGATACTTCAAAAATTTGTTTGAAGATATCAATTTTGCCATGAAATTTTATTAAAATAAGTTTTCTCTATCTCTTAAAATAAAAAAGTTAGACGGCCTTAAACTTTCGGTACTTTTCTGGTTTTTTTATTATTACTCACAAAGTTGCCCCTGGAGCTCAAATTTGTTTTTACAAGCATCAAGGCTTCAAAAAATGCAAAAAAAATTACACATACATTAATTAAAAAAAACAATTAATAACTATAACATATTTAAAACATATTTTCGACTATTTCATGAGCATGATATCGAGCGGATTTTTTATACCTGTAAAGGGCATAGGTAACGCTAAATTATGGTATTAAAAACATAAATTAAAATATTTGTGTTTCATTTTTGCTGTTACATTTTGATAACTTCAAACAGCTATAACTTTGTTAATTTAAATGGAACAACCTATATTTTTTTACTCTGTTTGTAAATTTTAACAATGGTTCTGTAGGTATTTATCTTTTTTGATGGATTTCTAATATAATCTTACGTTTATGTCTTGAGAAAGGAAATAAACATTTTCGAAAGCTTGACAACAATACAAAGTGTTCTTATTGTACTAGCCCTTAGCACCGTTGACTGCAATCCCAAATATATATATATACATACACAGTGTGTTTCACTTAAACGGAACACCTCCGTATTTAGGATGGCGTTGGCTGATTTCCAAAATTCTTTTCTTTCTTCTTTTTTTATGTGGTAGTACTCAAAAAGGCCTACTTTTTGATATTATATTTTTTTACATGTGATCTTTTTTACGGCCTACTGTCAATAAGAAATGACCCTCAAAAATTAAAAACTTATTAGTCATTTTTTTAAGTAAGAAATGGATAGCATTTTCGATTTGATCACACCTTAAAACCCTAAAAAGAAAGTTTCATTATTATAGCTTTTACAGGGTGTTAATATAAGTTGTAGTAGACTGATATGTGAACAAAATAGAACAATAAAATACAGGGTGTTTCATTTGAAAAATATTAGAAAATCAAGTTTGAACTTTCTTAAAATGATCGTATTATAAAAAATGCCCTTTTAAAATATCGATATTAGCTAATATAGGAGTCTTTGCCTAACATTTGCCTATACCTCAGTCAAATATTTTTGCTCCAAGTATTAGTAGTTGAAATTTAATATAACTTCTTCGGGGTCATGTTTTTTCCAAAATTCGAAGAATTTTCTATATAACTTGGCAACCCCGCACTAAAATATTAAACTGTTTATATTGCCATATACAGATTTTTCTCATAAATCGATGTTTAAAAATATACGGGGTATTCCATTTACTGGGTGTTTTTACTCATCGCCCTGTGTGTTTCAAATTAATTTTGACCATTAGGTTTTTTGATTCTGTACAACTTTTACAACTTGTACAACTTTTTTTCTGTATTATGAATAACAGGGGAGTTATTTTACTTTCTCACACTAATGGCCCACCCTGTATATATGCTGACTCCATCCACAGTTCTGTGTCTGTTTCACAAGTGTAAATGTGCAACTAACTCCCAGTTTTCATCAGCCGTTCCATATGTCTATTAATTCATTGTTATTGTATCAATGGGTTATTTTAATATGTTTGTTCTTACTTAGTAATCAACTAACTATAGGCACACTGCCCATGTAAGTCGGGAACGATTCCAGAGGTTGTAAATATGTTTTAAAAATTTTGGTTATTAATTTTAAGCACCGTTTTGCAGTTTCTGTAAATAAACTAGTAGTGGATTTAGTGGTATTGGTTTTAATCTGTAAACACTGATATAAACAAACAGAGTATACACACAATATATACAGCGTGGTAAAAAAGTTCTGCATAAAATTCATATTTTCGTTAAACAATTTTTTTTCGAAAAACGGTGAGACCCGTCGATTTTTATTTGATTCAGGGCACCTTGTTATGTGGAAATTTTTTTTTTCGATAATCCACTCACGGCAGCGATGTTTTTTTAAATGACAACGTATATTTTTTTCGTTCGAAATTGATGACAGTGATAATTATCTAAACAACGGTGTGAAAATTTCTATGTCTTACATAACAATTTTTTTTAGAAAAATGCACCTTAAGTTCTTGAATGCAATAATTTGCTGTTTACGGATCAAATGCCTTAGAAAAAAATTTATTCGGCAGAAAGCATTTCAGATAACTTAAGTTGCAACTGGTGTTATGTAATATTTGCGGAATTATTCATCAGATATTGTCAGGATCCTGATTAAACTGCAAAATTTAGAACCAAGTTCAACCGCACAAAATCCAAATAGTATGTAGCAAATTAAGGTCGACTTTTTGTCTTCGAGTTTGCCGATAAATTCCCCAAAAAAAAAAGATCCAAAGAAATGTTTACTTGAAAGGAGTAGATTACCTGAAATATTGAAGACTAAAAATCAGTACCGATTTAACATTCTTTGGTGAAATCGTTTAATTCGAAATGGCAAAACTTAGTGAACGCGAAAGAATTGATATTTTGAGGATGATTGGTTTCGGCGATAAGTTACGAACCCATCAAGAAGCTTGCCAATTATTTAATGCAACGTACCCTGACAGACCACCAATTACGCAATCTACGGTTAGTAGGGTACTGGCAAGGTTTGAGGAAACTGGTAGTGTGAAAGATGCTCCTCGTGCGGGTCGTCCTAGAGTAGATGATGAAACTAGATTGAATATCCTGGTGGAGCTCCAGGACAACCCTCATTCTAGTACAAGGTCGATTGCATTGAACAATGATATTTCACATGTAACTGTGGTGAACTTTCTCAAAAAAGAGAAATTTCACCCCTATAAGGGTCACTTGATACATGCATTGACTGAGGACGACCCAGACCGCCGTCTCCACTTTTGTGAAGATTTAATGCATCGATGTAACGGAGACCCCGACTTCCTCAAGAACATAATTTTTTCTGACGAGGCTACTTTTTATCTTAATGGATCGGTGCATCGACATAACTGCCGGTATTGGTCTCAGGAAAACCCGCACTGGGTGCAAGAAGTAGATCATCAGCACCCCCGAAAGGTGAACGTTTGGGCGGGAATAATAGGGCGTCGTATTTTAGGCCCGTATTTTTTCGAGGAAAATTTAACTGCTGCTCGCTATTTGGATTTCCTGCGGTTCGATTTGGTCCCAAGCTTAGCAGAGTTATTCCCGAACAACGAGGATCCTGATATTCCTGAGGAAAGAATTTGGTTTCAGCAGGATGGTGCACCGCCCCATTATGGAGTGCAAGTACGGGAGTACTTGAATAACACGTTTACTGGCCGGTGGATCGGGCGACGCGGAACAATCGAGTGGCCTCCGCGTTCGCCTGATTTAACACCTCTAGACTTTTTTTTGTGGGGCTATTTGAAATCGCGTGTGTACACAAACAGACCAGGTGATTTGGAAGAACTTAAAAACCGTATTCGTTTTGAAATAAATCAAATCGACCCGGGAATGCTTGAACGAAGTGTAGACGGCGTTTACACACGCTTAGGACAATGCCAAATGGTACAGGGTGGGCAATTCGAACAATTTCGCTAGACTTACACAAACATTAGTGTAATTTTACTCGTTTGAAATGTAATTTTGTCAACTTTGTCCTTTTCGGAGCCATTAATAGTGTAAGTAGACAATTATCACTTATAAGAACTTAAGGTGCATTTTTCTAAAAAAATTGTTATGTAAGACATCGAAATTTTCACACCGTTGTTTAGATAATTATCACTGTCATCAATTTCGAACGAAAAAATATGCGTTGTCATTTAAAAAGAAAATTATGTCATCGCTGCCGTAAGTGGATTATCGAAAAAAAAAAAATTTCCACATAACAAGGTGCCCTGGATCAAATAAAAATCGACGGGTCTCACCGTTTTTCGAAAAAAAATTGTTTAACGAAAATATGAATTTTATGCAGAACATTTTTACCACACTGTATATATATAATTAATAAATTTTAGTTTCAATTATAATGAAACAACCTTTGCTAGACCATCTGAATGCTGTCCAAATACTTGTGGTCTACCATGTTTTGTTTACGTAATTCCCCCAGGTACAAGAAGCCAATGCTGCACTTATGTGTGCAGATATATTTTCACATTTGTGTGCAATGAATTGGCATATAGGGCCAATATTTTTGGGTCTTATATCATGCTATCCTAGTCTCATAATGTACTATAATAATTATATGGTTTTACTGCATTTATTATAAGGAATGTGTCTATATGACTTCATTTGATAAGAATTTCAGAAAACATGAAATAATGTATAATTTTTAAAATATTTTTTTTTATTAATTCTGATCGACTTATCATAATTTATTCTCAGATGAAAATGTATTTTTCCATTCAAAATTTTAATAATCCTTATTAATCTTAGGTACTGGAAATACGAGTACAGATGGCACCTATAAACCTTCCTTTCTCACTGATCAAGAATTGAAACATCTCATACTGGAAGCAGCTGATGGTTTTCTGTTTGTAGTAAGCTGCGACACAGGTCGGATAATATATGTATCCGATTCTGTTGCTCCTGTACTAAATCACTCGCAAAGTGACTGGTATGGTTCCTGCTTGTATGACAGCATTCATCCTGAAGATGTTGAGAAAGTTAGGGAACAACTGTCAACGCAAGAACCTCAGAATACGGGTCGCATCCTTGATTTAAAAACAGGCACCGTAAAAAAGGAGGGCCACCAATGTAATAAAGGAATATCTTTAAAATTGAATAACATAATTAAAGCTTTACCGTTGCAGCTTCTATGAGGTTATGTATGGGTTCACGAAGAGGTTTCATATGTAGAATGAAAATTGGAAATCTTTCTCCGGAGAGTATGTCAGTAGGTCATTTAAACCGCCTTAAACAAAGAAATAGCCTTGGTCCAGGACGTGATGGTCAGAATTTTGCAGTAGTACACTGTACCGGATATATAAAGAATTGGCCTCCGACAGGTAAGTAAAACAGATCTTTTAATATGATTAGATCGTATATCTTCTCATATCAAATGTTCTGGGTAAAGTTAAGAATAATCTAAGTTGGGAAAATATCAGATATGTTCCCAGGTGTTCAACTAGAACGTCAAGCTGATGATGAAATTCATACAGCCCACTGTTGTTTGGTGGCTATTGGTCGCTTACAAGTAACTTCAACTCCAAATACCAGTGATATGTCGGGTTCCAGTAGCAATTCGGAATTCATCTCAAGACATTCCATGGATGGTAAATTCACTTTCGTAGACCAACGTGTAATAGGATTGCTGGGCTACTCCCCACCAGAGCTATTAGGCAAGAGTTGTTTCGATTTTTTCCATCCAGAAGATCAGACACATATGAAAGACAGTTTTGAGCAAGGTATTATTATTTTTTTTTATTAAAATCACAATAAAATTAGTATTAGTAGATGTTGTCTCTGTCAAAATGGCTAAAAATTCCAAAGTTACAGCTATTGATGGAAATGAACATGAACAAAAGATTAATTTAAGAGGTATATATTCGGGTAAAGCTGTAGTGAAGTTTTGTTTTGTTTAACTCTTTCTTGCTTCTGCCCGAATGTAACTCGGAATTTCATTTTGCATGTGCCCGAGTCACACTCGTGCATAGAGTAATTTATGTGGTTTTTGCTTTACATCCCCGTATTAAACTAGAAATTCATTATGAAAGCACGTTTATACCCAGAATTTTCTGCATTTAATGTTTTGAAAGTTGTACTATATATGGGACATTCCACGTTAAATCGATCATGGCTCTCGCCAATATTTAGAGATACTTAATAAACGGTTTTGGACGTACAAAGATTAGTTCTTCCAAGTACTTTAACTTGTTACGTGGTAGAATTTGTAAATCCAATATGGCGGTTGCAAGTATAAAAAAAAATAGGATTCATCCAATAATCTCCCTCCAGTGAACATATTACTAATAAATCCATCTCCAAATAACCTTAATGGGAACTTCGAGATTGCTGTTCATAAATCTTCAGAAGTTATTTTCAGAAGATTCAAGATGGTATTTTTTATGTAACTGCTTAGCAAGCCATAAACCACAAAACTTTTATTCAATGGTTATATTTTATTGATTATGATGAGATAATTTGATAATTATCTTCGCATAAAAAGAAATAGAAATGTTTTTAGGAAAAAAATAGTTAACAGTAAACTAGGAAATTCAGTTACCCTGACTAGAAAAAGGGCACCATAACAGACGTGTAATTGCTAATTTTTATTTAACAAATAATAATAATATAGAGCCACAAAAAAAAGGTAAATTGTCTGTGCCATAAAGCAGACCATGTTATTCCTACATACATATTTTCAGCTACTGAATCTGAAACTGAATCTGACCTCTGTTTTGACCCATTGGGATTTTTTGTAAATCGTTCATTTATCTTTTTTTAATTCAAAATCCAAGTGATGGTACGAGGAGGCTTGTATCTAATGACGATCTTGATGACCCCATAACCCTACAACTCTGATTTATTTATCAGAAACCACCATAATTCCATAAACCCAAAAACCCGTCTTAACAAGACGTTAAACGAAGGCTTAAATTTAACCAGTTTTCATACCCCTAGGAATAGTTTAGCAAAAGGTGCATTGAATTTAGCTTTCTTACAAATAATTTAGTAATGGTATTAATTTTAGTGAAAATGGACATAAAATTCCTAATATTTCTGCTCAATTTGATTTTTTACATAACTTATCTTTTATTCTTATTCATTTCCATAAACAGCTTTCTTAAATCAGATTAAATTTATTTATCTTTGTTAATAAAGGAAAGACAAGGAAACACTATTAACTAACAATTTTAATGTTAGAAATATTTTTTGTACTTGTTGGTGGATTAAGATACTTTTTAATCCTTACTCTTGTTTCAGGGATAAAATGCCACTTTTAATCTTCGATTTTGACAGGGATTAAATTTATTTTTAATCTCTCTCAAATACATTAATGTTTATTTGAAGTTATTCCTCAGAACTAAAATGCCATTTAATCTATAAATTTAAAAATTCGCTATAATACACCTACAGAAAAAAATGTTTGTTTTATCATGTTTCAAATATAAATTTCATTTTAACAAAAATTTCATTTCAGTATCCATCCTCATTTATTGAGAGTTAAATAATTATCCTATACTTAATTTTATTATTATTATTTTTTTTAAACCAAACTTAGGTCGTAGAAGATTTCAGTTTATTTTTAGTTGTTAGTTTAAGATTCAAAATTAGGAACATTTTATTACATTTACATTAGTAATTTTGTCATGTGTTAGAAAAGAAATAATTCAAAATGAAATAATTTCTACCCTTTTTGCACAAAACAATTGAAAATTAAAAAATTACAAAATTGAATATTTTAGTCAAAATTTTTTTCAAAATAGTTATTAAAATATATGGAGTGACCCTATTATTGTATAATTTGCATATTCTCATGTTTTAAAACTAACATTTTATCGGTTTAATTAAGTAATTTAATATTCATGTGTTGTTTGGATAACTTAAAAAGAAATATGTACTATAATCATTAATAATAAATTCACAAAATTTTGTACAAACAATCCTTTTTAGGAAATGCTCAGTCCTATGGTATAATGAGTTATGAAATTAAAAAATGTAATTGTAACTTTATTAAGTAATTTTTGAATGAAACTGAGTGTTCTAAATTGTATTAAATCTTTAATATCCAAGTTACTTTGACTTATAAACTCGCATATCTATTCAGTTTAAAAAAAATACATACATCTTTTTTGTACAATCTGAAATTTTTAAATGTCAGAATGATGTCACATAAATAAATGTAGAATATTCAATAAAGAAACACAAAAATCTCAGTTGGAAATGGTCCTTTCATCCAAATCTGTAAAAGAAGGTCCTCTGATCAAATAATTTCTTTGAAAATTGAAACCTCTGACTTCTTTTAATTCTGACGCCACTGATTAATTTTCGTTTAAATTTAACCTAATTTGAAATCATTATCTTCAATAGTTCTTTAGTGTTGCACCATGCACAAAAAAACTGTTTCACTTCCATCCAAGGATTAGGAAAAGTATTGCTGTTTTTTTTGTTGGTTTTGGTGAGCAAAATTAGCCCTAAAAGTTTATCATTGTAGCTTTATGCCTTGGATTGAAAAAGTTAATATTTGTATGTGCAAAGTATTTCCATTTAAAAATCTAGTATATGTCAGACGTTTCACGTCAATTGGCACAGTGGGCTGCCCAGAATAAAAAGTCATCAATATTGATGTTCGACGTGTCAAAAGCTTCTTATTTAAAAACTCTATCGAAAGCCATCTGGATGATTTAAAAAAAAAACATCATGGCGGTTCCAATATGGCGACCGCAATCATGGAAAATTCTGTTTAATGAATAATATTGATAGATAAGAAACATAAAAATACTGTATTGTAGACTGAATCACCAATATCTATATGTTTTTGGGGTTGCTTATTTCGAATTCAATGTTCGTTAAACCCTATCTGGTCAATGTTCGTCCCTAACCTTAAAAATATTTCAAATCTTTGAAATAATACTTTTCTTCGATGAGTAATACAGTCTAACCACCACAATTTGTGTTTTCGGGATCGCTGAAACCAATTCTAATATCCATATAACTTCAACTAGTCAGAGCTCGTGCCTAACCTCAAACAAATAGCGCAAATTGCTATTTTTTCTATATTTAGGAATGAAATGTAACCAACGTATCTTTATATTTTTGGGGTCACTGAATCGAATTCCTACATCTGTTTGAACCCAACTAGTCATTAGTCGTCACTAACCTCAAAAAAATATTCCAAATCACCAAAAGTTTCCCTCAAGCCGTATAGCACTTCTCTAACCCTCTCATGGCAGTTGGCGCCTGAAGATACACATAAAAAACACGAAATATTGGATAGCCTTACTCAAGCGCTACTAGTTTTCAAAAAGTCGCTGGTGTGCTGGTAGACCATTGAAATAGTACAATACCGACACCTATGGACAGATGATACTTTGGTTAGAGATTTGATCAAATCATTTTAATGAGCTCATTGACTGAACCCATAGTTACAAATTTCGAAATAGAATTTGCTGAATCGAATAAGTCTTACATAAGAATTATCCTGTACTTTTAGTACTTTCGATATTTTTAAATTCAACAGGTTAAACAATAAGCTTTTTTGTTTAATCGGATTGAGGCCGTTATCATGGCTAAGACTGTATTATCTTTTCTTCGCTATAATATTTAATCAATTTTAGAGAATTTTTAGGTTACAAGACGAATACTAACCAGTTGATGTTATACGGATATCAAAATTGGACTCGGCAATCCCAAAAAAACATAGAGATAAGGTGGTCAGACTTTATAACTATTATATTTGTTGAGGTCAGAGATGACTAGTGACCAGTTGGGTTCAAACGGATGTAGCAATTCGATTCAATGACCCCAAGAATATGAAGATATATTGATACACTTCATTTCTACACATAGAAAAGTGTAATATTAGCAATTTGTGCTATTTTTTGAGGTTAGGCATGAATTCTGACTAGTTAAGTTATTCGGATATCAGAATTGGTTTCAGCGATCCCGAAAATATAGATTGTGGTGGTTAAACTGTATTACTCATCGTAGAAAAGTATTATTTCAACGATTTGAAGTATTTTTAAGGTAAGGGACAAATAGTGACTAGATGGGGGTTTAAAGATTGAATTCGAAATCAGCATCCACAAAAACGTTGGTGGATGCTGATGTGGTATTTTTATGTTTCTTATCTATGAATATTACTATAAACAGAATTTTCCATGATTGCGGACGCCATATTGGAACCGCCATGATGTTTTTTTAAAATCACCAGATGGCTTTCGATTGAGTTTGATACATCGAACATCAATATTGATGACTTTTTATTCTGGGCAGCCCACTGCCCATTGTCGTGAAACGTCCGATATATTTTTATATTGCCAGTGTTTATTTAAAATATTTTTTTTTAGTTCTGAAGTTGAAAGGGCAAGTTTTGTCAGTGATGTACCGTTTTAGAGCGAAAAACAGAGAATGGATATGGTTAAGAACGAGCGCGTTCTCTTTTTTAAATCCATATACTGACGAAGTTGAATATATAGTTTGTACAAACACTACAGCTAAATCTTTACACCCATCTGGTGAAACCGCCGCAGAAACTCCAGAGCAAGTTAGTTATCAGCAACCAGGTTTAGACTACAGTTTACAGCGACGAGATGCCGGAATTTACTCCCATATGCTTCCAACCACACATATTCAAAGTGAGTACCTGCCGATGTCAACTTCATCTGGTTGCAATGACCGTTCAGAAGATTCCCGATTTCCACGTTTACTCACTGATCCCCAACAACAAGCAGCTCGACCTAGTAGTGGGCAAAACGTGTATACTAGTTACGAGCCAACGGCATCTCCTATTGCTTACGGCTCTCCATCACAAGCTAGTGCCAGTAGTAGTAATACTAGTGTATTAGCAAGATTAAGTAAAGGTAGCACAACTAGTCCAACTCCTGCTGCTGCAGCGTGGAGTTTACGACAGACCCAACCTGCTCCTGAAGGGTATCAGTATAGCCAACCTAGCCCCCGCTCTCCTGGTCCAACATACACGCAACTGAGTGGTGGAGCACGGCCAGGCACAGGGACTACACCTAGTTCTTATCAGTGGACTAACTGGCAAGGATCAGCTCAAACCTCCGATTCCGGTCCCGGTTCTAGTGGATCAGGGCCTCCCCCTCAGCCACAGCCGCACGAGCTTTCAGATATGCTACAAATGTTAGACCAGGGAGGAGCGACATCCTTTGAGGACCTGAATATGTTTAATACAACATTTGAATAAATTTATATATTTTTTTATACATAATTGTTGTAATATCAAAAACTCGATGAATTGCAACTGTCATTTTGGTAAATGGTAAAAGAGAATCAGTGACACTTCAGTGTGTGCAGTGATGTGTTTTTTATAGAACAAGAGTTAACATAAAACAGTATAAAGAAAGTTAATCCTCGAATGCTGATTAATTCACAAAAATTTTAAATTGTTTAATATTATTGTGACGTCCAGAATGTATTATAGCTTCAGTAAAGTTTGACATGACACTGTTTTATTTATTTTTTATTACCACCCATCATTACTAGTATATTATATGTGAACACACGTTTGTTTCAACATCTTTGACTGCAATTGGAAGAGCAAAATTTAAATAATATGCAATTATGGTTCCATGAGATTTTTAAAAACGAGAAAAATAAATATTAGTTTTAACAGCAGTTTGCTATTAATTTAGTGAATGTTTAAATTTTCTTCAAAGTGATTCTTATTTTCTAAAAAAGAAATTTTTGTTACAACAAAAGAGCATTTCTATTGATTACAACGCTTAAATTGTCAATTAGCAGAAGTGGAAAGGTATATTAAATTTTATTAACCCTTTCGCTGCGCAATACGTCTGCGCGCGAGAGTTTACCGCATGCGAGTATACTCGTCTGGAGCAATTAGACTACTTATATTTTTACATTATGTTGTGCTAAATTATATTAAAATATGTTTAAATGTTTCAAAATAATTGTAATAGTTTAGTTATTAATATTTTATTATAAAGCATCCATCACTATGCTCCTCAACCTCAAACTCGTCGCCGCTATCGCTCCTCACTAAAATTTCTTCCAGTTACTTGTCTGTCAATTTTCTAGATATTTTTACGATTTTATAATTAATTTCCTAATATGCTGCCGCAACTTTTCGGAAAAAACTTTTTCAATTTTTTACACGAAATTTAAAAAACAGGAAAAAAAAGGGTAATTTATGGTTTTTTAGAAAATTGACGGCTAAATTAAAAATATTCACGAAATAACTAATGTTAAGCATGACTTTTACAGTTCGATATATCCAGAAGAGCCTTGTGAAGTTTCATCTCACACTTCTCTAAACACTTCATAATATGATTAAAATGGGAAACAAATTTTTTGAGGTTTTTTTCACGTTTACCGCAAATAACGTTTAAATTGATGAAAAAAAAGAAAATTTGCAACATTTTTTTATCACGCTATTTCTTAGAATTGCATGATGACCGTAGCTCCTAAAAAATTTCGACCGAAATATCTCAAAAACTAGAATCTTAGAGCTTCAAAATGCTTTTTTTATTTCCCGATACGACCATTTTTCACCTAAATACAATGTCAAAAATCACGGAAAAATTTCGGAAATTCTTTTGACCCTTTAATTTTTTACATTAGTCTATAAAAGTGTATTTTAAATTATTATTTATAAGACATTTAATATACATTTTATTTTTTGCAGTTTTTGCTGCTATTGTAAATATTTTTAGTTAGGAATTTAGGGAAGACTAGGACAGAAAAGTTGAATTTTGGCCGCCCTGGTGCCGGGGCACCACCAGCACACTGCTCAGGAACGGCCCTACAACCGAGTCACTAATGCACATGGTTGCGAATATATACGGTTTGAGCAGCCTGATCCAATTTAATGATTCAAGCGAATTAATTGGTCTGGAACAGTTTGAGTCCTATAAATTTTTAGCGAATAAACTCGTCTGGAGCAGTGAAAGGGTTAATTTTACAATTTTTAACTAATTCAAAACATAACTATTGAAATTGCCTTGTCAAAAACAACAAAGAATTCAAACTAAAAATAATATCTATTAAACAAGGAATATGAATGTGGCAAATAACACAAATGTTGGAAGAGGTGGATAAAAGAAGTATTACTGAATCAAATCATAATTTGGAGATTTTTTCGTTCTTGACGTGTCAATGTCATGATTTTACAAATTTATCTTTTTTGTCTTTATTATTCCGCAAAGTTACCACTTATTTTACATTTTTATATTGTTGCACATTGTATAAAAAAATTAATTCGTTGACTATTTTGGCACTTACTACCTTTGATTATTACTAATTACCTGCTATCATGTTTTACCTGGATAATCCTATTTCAGCCATTGTAAGGTATCCGATATACAGGGTATTTCTGAAATAAGTACCAAAAATTTAACCGCGCCTTCAACTCGTCAAAAGCAACTTGGTTTTTGAGATGTTTTTTTTTTCAACTGTAGATCTTTGTTACCAGCCACTGGAGTATAAGTTAAAATACTTAGTTGAGTTCATAATAAACAAAGAAGCACAAAAAATGAGAAGTAGTGCTAGTAGTTATGCCAACAGATAGTTTTAAGATGGTGACAGATAAAAAAAATTAAAAAAAAACATGCAGGATACAATTATTTAAAAAATCTTAATTTTCAAGAAAATTAAACTTACTCTTTTTGACACTTACATGCTTTAATTATGGTCCTGTTGTTATTTGGCAGAACAATGAAGGATAAATATATTTTATTAATTTAAAATCACTTGCGGGCAAGCTCTGTTTCCTACCTTATTATTTACGTTTTTTACTTTGGGGAAAGTGTAAATGGCAGTTTGTTTTTAATATCGATGGCAGTAAGTCAAAAAAGTATTGTGCTGTGACGCCATTGCATTAACAATTATGTACATTTAAAACTTGAATATATCATTTTACTTTTCAAGGAGAAATTAAAAAAATGTGGATAGTCAAATTAAAGACTGATAAACAGATACGCAAATATAATAATAATGTTACAGTAACATATTTGCAGAAGAGTCTTCAGGATTCGTTAACGGAAGAAATGTGCCAAAGGCATAAGTATTTCATAAAATTGTCAGTCATTGGACGCATACCATTTGTGTCATACATAAATTAAATATTCAAATCTTATCCCTATCCTTTATTTATGCTTGTGAAATACGTTAACATGTATCTAATCTTGAAAATTAGTTCTGATTATTCTTTGAACAAAACTTAAGTGTTAATAATGGAAATAAGTATAGAAGGGCGGTTTCTCAAATGTGAAAATATCTGTTCTAACATAAAAATCATCGAAAGCTAACTTATAAGTTCTTTAAGTGATGTATGTATCCATACTTATGATCTACAATCCTTGCTTGAATAATCACAAAAAAATACTGTTAATAGTGTGATTCTGTAGCTTTATTTCATTACTTAAAAATGTTTTAAAAAACTGTTGATGGCTGAAATGTAACGGAAATGTAATTAAACTGCCACAAGTGACTGCAGAAATAAAAAATCTTAAAAAAACTACTTTAAAAGTAATTCATTAGATATAAAAAAATTCTCGGAACAACTTGATGCAAAAATATGTATGTGCAAGATGTGAACAAAATAATAACAATATCTACCCCTTCTTATAATGGTAAGGATTAGACCAGAAGTCAGAGACTTGTGCGAGAGAGAGATCAGCATATTACTCGGTAGGCCACATTGGTAAGTAGGGAGACCCTAAAAAGCCTCTTTAATTAGGGGGATGGTAAATCGTCGTCCAGTATCAATCTCTCACATTGACCCAAGCCAATGTTCTTTCACCCTGCCATACCCGCAGAGAGGGTTTCTAATTCCTCTTTACGAATATAGCTGATCTACAGTCTTATGGCCGCAAGGATCGAACCTGCGACAATGGCATTCATCAATTCAAGTATTAAAGTATTCAGTTATTTATAACAAATGAAGTTTTTGCAAAAAATGTCTTAATTGCCTTCTATTTTTTTTTACTGAATTTAAAGCCAGTATAGTGTGTCAAAATTGGATTTTTTATTACATTCTGATTTAAATGAGAATATTAATTTTTCATTTCATCAGAAAACTATCAGCCTTGTATTGTGAATTATTAACAAAAATAATTGTTGATTTGTTTTTCAAGAATTGTGGGGAAACAAAATCTTAATTTCTTCAATCGTATTTGGAAGACCGATGTGTACTTTTGTTAAACCCTGATTAGTTTAAATGGTATCAAAATGTTGGATAAAGAATAAGGTATCCATCGAGCTCAAATTATAGCCTGAATTTTCTTCACGCAATATTAATATTATAAAACGTGTACTCCACTTTACATTTATGTGATTTAAAAAACAAAATTCTATGTTGCATCAAACAAGTGGGCAAAACACTCACTTTAGTGATCTGAGCACAAAATACTTAGGAAGCTTTGTATCATGGTATTAATAAATAATAAAAAAGTAATTTTTAATAGGAAATTATATATGTATAGTAATTTGAATTTTTAGAGATTCGAATTTCTGCAAATTTTTTATTGATGAAATTTATAAAAAATTAGGGGTTGTTGACATCAGGTGACCAGAAATTACAAATTGGACATGGGAAATTAGGACATTCTTAAGACCACTGCCATCTTCCATCTTTTAATTTAATTTTTTTTACAAACTATGTTCTTTATTATATATGGTATATTAATACGTTTGCTCTATTGGATTCTTCATTCTCTTCCTAAAACATGAAATTATTAGTTTCAGTAACAAAAGGTTGGTATTTACAGTTTTTTGCAATTTTGTATTTGTAAACTTTAAGAAAGTGGCAAAAATTAAAACAAATTACAATATTTTAATGAGACACTGCCTTATATCTGCAGGTAGGACAAATTTCAAATTAATAACAAAACAACATTTTACCAACAACCTTTTAATTTAATGGTAATGGTTATTAAATCTATTATATTTTATTTATTTACTGTTGTTAATTAATAAATTAATATAACATCTGAATCAAATTATATCTACGTCTAAATGCCAACAATCTTCCGGAACAATTCCAAATTTCCCGAAAGGAGATAATATTGTGGCCAAAAAGTAGGACATGAAGAACAAAGCTCATGAAAGGAGGATGATGCTCCTCTAAGGAGGATGTCAGATCACATATTTAAATTTTAATTTGATAATATTTCATTTTTCAAACTTCCTAATGCTATAACTTGAAAAACAAATGAATATCAAGCTAATGTAAAATTCACGAAGATAAAAAAATTATGGATTTACAATAATTTAAATTATTTTCATTTTCTATACACTGCTTGCTTTTGTTGGTTAATGTTGCAGTAGAGCATACAAAGTACTGACATATTTAAACAAAAATTGCATGGAGCCATTTACGTGCATGTGAAGTATTTTACATGTCTGTCATCACATTCAGCGATTTTGATGGATTATCTTCTATTTGTAACTCTGAAATCATTGTTATATTTTGTCACTTTAAAAATTTCAGCAG